GAATGGGAGGCACAGAGAGGCAAAGCAATTCAGTATCAGCAGAGTTCAAGGGGCCAGGCACAAGTTTCATCCATCTCTGTTTGCTCCTCACCTGAGGAAACTGCTGGCCAGCCTCTCCAATCCTGCAGGGCATGTGCAAAGCCCTCCAAATAGCTCAGTCTCTAGGACATGTCCCACAAGAAGGGACTCCCAGTGATTTCACAGCTCTATTGCCCCAGAGCTGGGCAGGATGGGGGCCTAGAGCAAGCCCTGGGGAGGCCAGATGTAGCAAGCTCACCCAGCTCCACACTCCCAGCATTCAGCGGTCCTTGGAATAAGGACCCGCTCTCATCACTGGAGAGTCTGAGCCACCTGCCTAGAGCAGGTTTCCTCACTGAAGCCTTCTACCAAGAGCCACTACCTACTGACTTCCAAGATCCTGTTTGGGAAAGGGGCTGAGCCTGGACCCTGAAGGAGCAGGTGGGAGCTGGTACAAGCCGCTGCCACACACAGCCCAAAAGCGGGAGACGCCCAGCCACTGCCCGCCCCCCAGTAGCCCTTTTTCCCCCCACAAAACCCTAGCAGTGGCAGGTGCTGCTGCTACCTATCAGCTCGTTAGCTGCATTTTGAGAAGCAGCTTAGGCGTGTAAACCTGCTCCAGCTGGGCAGGGTGGGGGAAAAGCTCACCAAAGGTGACAAATTTGAAGGCCCTCCTCCACAGCTAAACTGGCCATGCTGTCCAGGAGATAGGCAGTGTGCTCGTGCTGCAGGCCGGTGCTGCCTCGGCAGCTCCACGAGCGCCTGGCTGCTGCACTCGCCCTCCTCGTGGCCACAGCAGCAGCAGTTGCCCTCACACTACCCAGAGCTACCGCAGAAAGCGCCTTCCCCACTGCCTTTTCTGCTGCCAAACCCGCTAAAGCGGCTCCTAAGAGGTGGCTGCCCAGGTCTGAGGTGCTCGGACGCCTCTCCTGGAGAGAAGGGGGATGAGTGGGGCCCCTCGGGCTGTGGGCACAAGGCCAGGCAGCAAGGGTGCCACGGGCTGAGCAAGAGGGCTTTGGAGCCACCAGCCTCAGCAGTGCACTGCACATTACGAAACCGCTGGCAGGAAAACACCAACCAAATAAATGGCTTGATCGCACCGCTGTTAGTTACTAAACGAATGCTTTTGTCAGCGCTTGCCTTACCTCAGGGGAAGGGCCGCAGGCAGAGGCCTCTGTGCCAGGCCTGCAGCGCTCTGTCACGGGGCTGTCACCATCCTGAGCAGGTCCGCGTGCCACCTCCAGCCTGAGCACACAGCCTGGGCGAGACGGGCTCCTCGCGCTCACCTCCAGCGCTGCCCCGCGGGTTTACAGCTCCAGCGGGCTCCTCTGTCACGTCCTCGGCTGGGAAAAGCAGCCCTCGTCCTAGCACATGCAAAGCCAGCAGCTGTAAAGGCAAAATCTCCCATCTTCAGAAGCTGACATCCCGCTTCCAGGGTCTAGGCCAGCCTTCCTCTGGTGCAAAAGACCTCACACATACAGGTCTTTAAGACAGCACAAGAAACTGGGCTTAAAAGTCCTGCCCAGGCTGTTCTTACCATATCAATCAGTAAACACGCTTGCAACAAAATGGCTTTCAAATAATGGTTGAAGCCATGTCCTAGTTTAAGCAAGGACTGAGATTCAGCCCTGCTTGGTGCCTCATTTAGAGCCCTTAGGGGAGATATCTGATTTCCCAAGGAATCTCTAACATCTTAGTTGAGCTGCATTTCCTCTGCTCGCTTTGCCCCACTGGAAACAAGAACAAGCATAACAAAGGTTTTATCCTCAAATTTTACTGTAATTAAAATACAGAGATGCAGAATATTCCCAGAAACACACTGCAAAACAAACCAAGCAAACAAATTCAGTAAGAAACCAATTACAGACAATGAAATGATAAAGAACAAAAGTGTTCTCTGGAGCCCAGCCCCGTGCACGGGACTATGTGGCCACAGTGACAGCTTAGGGTTTCCAAAGGGCCCTTAGGCTCACACAGAAGCAGAAGACGGGTCCCAGAAGCTCTGCGGCTCTCTCCATCCATCTTCACGTTTACCCACAATCTGATTTTTTAGCAAGGCTGACTTCGCAATGGAGACACAGAAATAACCCATCCACAGGAACAGGAGCCAGGGAACAAGGGAATCCAGAAGAAAAGTGGGTTGAGTTTTTCCACACACAAAACACAGCAGGAGAAAGGGGTGGAAGACGTGCACTTCTCTTACAGCCCAGGGAGCTGTGGGAGCAGAGCCACCCTCTCTGCCCCCCAGCTATAATGAAGATCTCAGCAAGAGCTTTGGAGAGCCGGATCTGGGGGCAAGACCAAAAGCTAAGAAAAGTGAGAGAGTGATAAGGAACAGAGCAAAGGACAAAGCGGGAACAGGAGGTTCTCCTCAGCTGCCTTGGGGCACGGGGATCCCTGGCCGGGCAAGGCCCAGCGCTGCTCGGGGGCTGCCTCCCCGTTCCCAGCAGACAGGGCCTTGCACACAGTGAAAGCCTGGCTGAGCCATGAGCAGGAGGCTGATCCGGGCCAGGCACCATCCACCAGGCATCCTGATCTAGCTACTCAGAGACACCTAGCATTTGTCATTACTATGGAAGCAGAGTATCAGCCAGGAGTAGAGAAACATACACCAAAACCTACATTCTTTTTTTTTTGCTTTTCTCCTACATTCTTCCCTAGCACAAATTTCATCACATTCTTCTCACAATTCAAAGCCTCTCCTAGGAAATAAATTTTTTTCCACACTCTTTTTCTTTCTCCCTCGCTTTTCCCTTCCTTCTGCCCACCATCCTCTCCTCCCCAGGAGTCTGGTCTGCCTTGCACTGCCCCCCTTCCTTCCTCCATACCACCTAAGACCCCCCACCCTGCCACCCCTCTCCTGCCCCCTCCTACCTAGTGGGATTTCTGCCAAATGTTGGTTTTGGCACTCTTACCACAAAGGGGCTATGGGAAAAGGGCTGCACCAGTGACTGGGCTGGATCTCGACCTGGCTGAAGTATCTGTAGTTGGGGAGATGGAAAGATGGGCATATATCAGGTCCCACCAGCTTCCCCATCTGATCTACATCCTACCAAGCTGCAACTGGAGCTGTGAGAAAGCATCCTTGTTCTTAGACAGGGAGCACTGTGTTTTGCCTCTGGCATGGGGAGTGCAGAGAAAAGCAGCCTGGGTCCAGGTCACCTGGATCAATCAAACAGGCCCAGTACTCATACACAGATATACTTCCCAGAGATCTCTGAGTCCTGCATATTTATATATTCCCAAACACCTGATAAGAAGTCTGAGGCCATGGTTTACAAGTAGATTAATCCTCCATCCCTACCTGCTAGCTTGCCCTTTTTGTAAATTTATGGTCCATGAGCTCTCCATTAGCTGGGCTCTAGGAACAGCAATCTGGGCTGAGAGTTCCCCTCACTCTGTCTCAGGGCCATCCCTGAAGGCCGTGGCAGTTCCAGAACAAACGGTGAGCTTTAGTCCATTTACTACAAGGACACACAGTGAGAGAGGGAAGGGTAGAAGCAAAAATATGGGAAAACCTTAGAACCCACATGGTGTTCCATAACGTGCCTTTACCAAATTTGCCATGTCTGCTCCGCACACACAGTGCCTGAAAACAACAGCTTATGGAGGATTTATTGCCCAGAGTGTTTCTTTCACCCAAAGAGCCGGCGGCAAGAGCCTTTATGTGATACTGGTCAGCCAAAAGCATGACGAGCTTCCCACTGCCTGCCTCAGGGTGCCTGGAGAAGGAAAGCCCCTTAAGCACTATCTCCTCCTGTTCACAGAGTCAGGGAGGCTGCTGTGAAGACGACTGTCTTCTGTCTGAATTGGAAGGAAACTGCATATTCCTTTAGGGGCTTGCTGATGGCTTAGTTATGCACAGGCAGCTTTTAGCTTTGGGGTTAGAGATGGATGGAGAAGCAGGCTGTGATCTGGAATAAGAAATGAGGTGTGCTCAGGGAAAGCAGCAAGCAGAGACCCATGCAGTGCAAACTGCCCTCCTGCTTTGCAGGGGGGTTGGGATAAAGTAGGAACAGATGAGACTTCTTCAGTCCTTGCTAACTGCCACGAACATCCCTGCAAAGTGCAGACACCCATCAAGGCCTGATCTTTTCTCTGCCTTCAGAGAAAACACAACACATTTGGGTCAACTTGGCCTTCAAGAGAACAGAAGAGACAAAGAGGAAACGCACACACAGACCAAATGCTGTTTCTTCTTCAGAAACAAAGATGTAGGGTAAGCCGCTGTCATGCTATCAAGAGTAACACAATGTGGAGATGAGAAACTTCTTGCAACTGCAAATGTCAGGACCACTGCCCAGCAAGGGGTATGGAGAGAAACTAACACCGGTGTGCCTAGCAAAGGGACACAGGCAAATTAAGTCAGGTCCAAAATGTGGATTTAATAAAGGTCAGAATCAAAACTGCTTCACATGTCCAAGAACATAAAATGGTTGGGGTTTTTTTTTTTTGTACTTAAATATTCCCTGATGTTTAAGTCCTAAGCATAACAGAACAGCCAGGAAGTGAAATGACCTCAATCAGGAAATGAAAACCATGGAAGTTGGTTTCAGTGGCCAAAATATAGGGCAGAAAGTAAACTAAGAGCAAGGATGGGAGAAAGGACATTTTTCACATTCCTTTGGTTTTAATAAACTACACTGCTGGGTAACAGAGGGGAAAAAGGCCCTCTAAAACATGATTGTTATTTTGACCAGGTCCCTATATAAAAACTATATGCTGGAAGTGCCAAAGACGATTATATAAACTCCTCTGCAGCAGTGGCACCATTTTGCTTACCTGGCTGAAAACATGCCTGTGGACTGATACACACACGCGCTAACACATATGCAGATTTATAAAATACAGCACGAACACTGCTTCATTTGCCTACGCATCCAACATCTAACAATCTAGGCTAACAACCTGCCAAAATCAGGAAAGGCAGAGTTAATGTTGGAACCTGTGGCTTTCTTCCTCCCAAGAATTTCAGGGGACCTTGGAGAGATGGAGAGAGTGTGTGTGTGTGTGATGTCTCGCGACGCTTGAGCACCGCGGGACAGGCTGTGCATGGATATGACTCCCAGATGAACGCAGGTGTCCGGGTTTCTGCGGCACTAAGAGTTTGGGTGGGCTGTTTAGTGCAAGATGGCCCTTTTAGAGGAGCCAGGCTCCAGCCCCCCAAGCGGTATGTAGGGAAGGGCTGCAGGAGCCAGACAAGGGCTGCTACCTCTGGAGTGCACTCAGTCCCTCCGGGACACGTTCCCCAAGCAGCTCAGCCTGCTCATGGCTGGGCCACCCCTCCAGAGGCGCTAAGCCACAGGGTGACTCTCCCACCTCCTGTCCCTGCCACCCTGGAGCAGAACTGAGGTGGCATTTGGTAACACACTCACTCACAGCTACCAGTGACGTCTGCGGAGTGAGAGTGCAGCCTGGAGTCAAATAGCCCCTGTTGCCTATGGGGACACTGCAAAGACTTCAAGGGGTCAAGCCCAAGGGCCCAGTTAGCCTCAGTGTGGGGAGGGCACTCTCCCCTCTCCCTGGTGGAGCACCACTACCTCCTGCTGTAGCATGAGTGTTCTGCAAGATGCCACTGTCAGCAATTTCCCCAAATCCTGCAGATTCCACCCCCCTGCCCCTCACGGAGGAAATCTGCCTGAGGGATTGATGGCTTGGGACATATAATACACTTGTGTGGCCTCATCCCAGGAGGTGCTCTGTTGAGCTTGAGTGCTCCTTCTCTGAAGGATGAAAGTCAGCCAGGGCATAAATGACTGGGAGCAGCTTGTGGGATGGGACCAGCAAATAAAAGGTAAGAGGTGCGGGGCAGGAGGGAGGCTTCCCCCTCTTCACAGTATCTCTCTTTAATGTCAGTGGGACTTTCTTGTACAGTTCTCCCCCATGCAAACCCCCATACACACCACCCAGAGCCAAAGGTAGGCGTGTTTCAGGAGCTGTCTCCCCAGCTGAAGCTGAATTCAAGTACATAAACCACACTTCAAGCCAGGCATAATTCTTCCCCCTCCTCCCTCATCCCTCACCACCTCCAGGCAGATGGAGCCTTACACCATCTCCCACCTCTATGTTCTGAGGAGCAAAAAGGGAGGAAGGAAACTGCAAGACAGAGACAAGTGCGCTTTTAAAGTCCTCAGAGTAGAGATGGTTCCCAGTAGGTGATGGGAGTGAAAGGCATTGACAGCGGCCCTGTGAGCCGAGCCAGGCAGGCGGTGTAGAGCAGGAGTCTGCTTGGGTGCTTTACCCTCCCCAAAGCGGCTGTTTCCAATTCAAAGAGGTGCTGTGTAGGGGGAGAGTATGGACAGGTTGATCTTTTGGAAGGGAGCTGCGATGGGGATTAGTCAGCTTTGTCCTTTTTCTTTGCAGTGAAAGGGACTTTGCTGGCGACGGCACTGCCTACAGCCCCGACGCCACCGGTCACTGCCGAGACGCTGCCCTTCACCAGTCCGACGCCAGCAGCGGGGACGCTGGTCACAGCTGTCTTGGTGAGCTCCAGGCTCTTGCTGCCCACCCAGGCAACTCCTCCCAGCGTGGCCCCAACAGCTCCCCGGGTGATGCTGAACAAGCCACCCGTCACTCTCCAGATCACTCCTGCTTGCTGCTGTGGATGGTCCTTGCTGGCATCTGCAGGGAAAGAAAGAAAGAAAGAAAGAAAGAAAGAAGAAAGAGTCAGAGCATTCACCCCAGCAGCTGCACCAGCCCCGAGGGGTTCTCCAGCACCACGACACAAGCTCCAGCATGTGCAGCATCTTTCAGACCCAGTACCTTTTAGTGCTTGAAGAAGGAACTGTGGCAATGCCAGGCATATTGCGCACCAGGAGAGGGCTTGGGAGGATAGAGAGTGGGAAGAGAACAGCACGCGACGGAGAAGAGAAGCAGGCGGCTCAATTATATCCCCAAACTCTCAAGTCTCAGTGCTGCTATTTGCAGCAAATCCCACTAAGGAGAGATGTAATTGCCCCTCATATGTGTTGACTAATGCCAGTAAATCACAAAGACTAGTGCCAGCACAGGAGGCATGAACTGAAAACAGCAGCTGCTGTCATTTTCCTGTCCTGCAGGTTCTCAGAAAAGCATCTTTCAAGGTAGGTCTGCACTAACGTCAAATGAGGGACGGAGGCACAAGACAAGCCAGACCTATCTGCAGAAACTGCAACTTAACTAGTATAGATAGTAAACTACAGTAAAGACAGTGACATGGACTTCACTTTGGGTTGTACAAGCCCTCTGGAGACCTCTGCTACATACGTGATAGTGTTAGACTGTGCTTAAGTCGATGCATTATGTCACTCTTGGTCTACCTGTGCCAGCTGGATCACAGCCAGCACAGCACACCCACCCAAACTGCCACAGCACCTGCCCACCACAGAGCAGACACAACATTCACAACCTGCCAGTTCTGGGAGCAGGGCTGCCTCTCAGCTGCTGCTCACGAGACTCAAACCTGACAGCTCTGATGCCATCTTTCACACAGAGCTCTCACCGCGTATCAGCGACCACTGCTGCATATAGGCAGCAATGGAAGAGCTGTTCTTTTAGCGGGGTGAGATATTTTGGATACTCTGACTTCTGATTCACTGCCAGTTCCGTACACAAGAAGAGCTACTAATAATTGCAAAAATATGACAAAGCAATCCTGGCAGGAAAAAAATCAAGCACCAGCTGGGATTACGGAAGCCCTGGAGCAGCAGCATCCTCCTAACCCGTTACCCAGTCTGCGCAGTGCTAATGCGGCAGGAGAACTTTCACTGGGACGTGTGCCCCGATTTCTGAAAGTGGGGAAATGACACAAACGGCCGTGGCTTTCGGAAAGCCTGCACAACTACGTGGCATGACAGTGCCTCTGCGGAGAGCCAGGCCGGGGTCCTGAGAGCACCGGTCGCTCTGCCAGGGCGAGTCAGCGCGGAGGCCCCCGCAGCGCTGCGAGACAGGAGCTTGGCTGGGCCGGCCGCGGATCCGGGCGGCTGGCAGGGGCCATGCAGATAACAGCAGATGGACAAGAGCTGCTGGCTGAATGCACTGTCTCTTCCTAGATCTTTACAGGCCTTCTTAGATGTTCTCAGGGTCACTATCTCTCTCCTTTCTCTCAAGCTCTCTTCTGCTTTAAGGAGAGCCATCTTACCTATATGCTCCCTACCAGACAATCAGCAGCCTCCTTCTCTCATTGCTAGTAATATCCCAAGCAACAGAAAACCTGGAAAACCCTCTGTGATGGCTCCACGCACTTCCATTTCCATGCACACCGGAGCCAATACTGATTTAGGCAGCTGATTCCCTTTGCTAGCAAGCAAAGGGCTTGGTAGTGCTGGAAAGCAGACCGAATAGCTAATCGACTTGCGGGGCCTTAGCAAGCTACACACCCTGGATGATGGAAATGTCAGACCTACTCTGCCTACAGAAATGGGCTCCTTTTCCTGCTACCAACATGTCTCACATGGTATCTTTATCACATCCTCTATTTACTGCACTTTTGCCAAGCTATCCTGTGAATTCTTTCGAGCATACACGGCCTTCCTGTTGTCCATATGAACATAACACAACAGGGTCTCTAAGAGAAGCTGGAAAACAAGCCTCCCCCTCATCCTTTTCTGTTTTTCAACCAAGCCAACCGGAAATCTGTCACAGAGCCCTCAGCAGCAGGGCACAGATTTTATCCTTGGACGCACTGGGTGCCCCAGGGCTCTGGATGCACACGGTTGAGGGGAGAATATGACCTTGCCAACCAGATCGGTGCTGCTGCTGCGATCACAAGTGCTCAGGCAGCCTAGCGAGAGGAGGAACTCAGGCTGTGTCCTCCCTGGGAAAGGGCGATGATCTGGACCTTCTAGAAAGCAACATAAGATGTCTTCAGAATTCCACACAATGTTCCCAATCACTAACTTTTAGACACAGGAGTTTACATTAGAAGAGTGGCCTCTTGTGCCAATTCTGATTCTTCTAAAATGCTGCAGATTTTTGAATTTTCTTAAGAGTTACAGGTTCCCTCCTGAGCTTCACCCAGGCTGGACCTGGGTAGGTCTCCAGATAGTGCTGTGAGGAGTTGTTGGAGTTGTTGCCTGGTGTTCACCAGCTCTGAAGAACTGGAATAAGCCTCTGAATAAAGACTCACACATTTTCCCAGTTAATCTGGGCTGCAAAATGGTGTTTGACGGGGGCCTGCACAGGATTTCTGGTATACTCTGAATAGCTACAATTCTACCCAAGCTATGACATATTGTTTGGCTATTTCTCTCAGTGATTTCTCTTTGCATTTCTTCTTCTTCCTAGTGGCTACTGAGACTTCCTGGATCTTCAATATCCAGTTCAGTTGCCAGCCTCTCACTTGATGCAAACAGCTGATCTGGTACAGCAGTTCCAGTGGTTTGTCCTCAGACCAAGCGCAGTAAGACCAGATAGATTCCCTGTATCCACCAGAATATAAAGCAGGACTACTCAGTGAAGCCCTAGAAAATCAGACCGGTTCTCCAAATGAGTGGGATGGAATTGCATGGGTCTCATGTTCCCCCTTTGCTGTATGGAAAAGCAGGATCCTTCTTGCCCCATTAAGAGGACTGCAATGCAGGAATCTGGGCATTAAATTCCTAACTGCGTGCTCAGCTGCAGAACCATGAGCTGTATCCGTGCTGCAACAACATTCCTGGCTCTCCCCAGGTAGACCTGTGCCTGTGTTTACATGGGCGCCTCTCCTTGCAGGAGGCTTTAAGGCTCTGCTGCCCACATTTCTATTGACCTGAGGCTACTGGAGCTGCCCGACCACCTGAACAACCCTGGTTTAAAAACCTCTTGGATGATACCTGGATGCTTGCAGGAAGACAGCCCAGGTACTAGCAGGAAGAAGGCAACTGTTACAAGATTGAGGGGACATGTTACTCTGCCAGCAAAGAGCTGAAACACACTGGAAATATTAACGAGAACAGAGAAAAAGAGAGGCTCTTCCCGCTGAAGCCAGGCAGCGGCACCACCGCTGCGGCACATGGAGCGGCAGCGGGAGCACTGCACTGCACCTGCCCTGGCCTCTCCTGTGGCCCTTAAACACCACAAACAGCTGGGAGCAGAGACGTACAACCTGCCTCTCGGAAAGAGGGAGGCTGGCCCAGGAGCACCCTCCGGTTCCAACGCAGAACAGAACTTGTGCCACGGGAACAAAGAAAGACGTCAGATTTGAGGAAATTTGTAAGGAAAAGAGAAATCGCTGGTAACCCCAACCACAAGGGGCCAGGCCCTTCCCTGGCAGCAAGCTGAAATGTCACATTTGTTCTTACCCCAGACACTGTGTTTAAGGCTCTCTAACCATCCCTGGTTAGTTTGTCTTCAGGACTGCAATAAACCCCGTGGTAAGCTGTCATGTAAGATAAGCATCGGATTTGCAGTGCAAATTAGTCTCGCAGACAATGGAGTGAGCTAAGCATTTTGCTGGCACACAGGAGCCCAGATTAAGGGCGAGACAGACAGCAGAGATGAAATACACCAAATAATCAGAGAGACAGACACACCGCCAGCACACAGCAACAATTCTGCTCCGCGGAGCCCGCTGCGGCCCATGCTGCTCATGAAAGCCCTTCACCATCTGTCAAGCAGTTCTTCCTTTCCATCAATGACCTGGCCTTTTCAAGGGTCCCTTCAGCTTCACTTCACCCCATGTCAGCTTAGAACAGGGGAAGAAGAAAAAGATGAATAAAACGCGCTTCGGTTTATATGCTGATTCTCTACTCTGAGGTCAGCATCACACACAACAGACTCTCCTCCTTAGCCAAAGCCTTCCACAATTGATTCTGCGCCGGGCAGAACAGGGATCCTACCTGCGGGGGCTCCAGACAAAGCCACCTTTTCTCATCTGATACTGTCTATTACTTGGGGCAACAGTGAGATCCGTTTGTCAGAAATAACAGATAATATTTTTATAGCTGCCATGGCTACTACTCAGGCCTTTGCATTTTACTTATTTAGTGAGACAAAACTACACCCTGCTGATGCCCCCTGTAAATGCAACAGGCACTTTTCTTCCCCTCAGCACCTGCTGGTAGGTGATACAATAGGCAAAGGGAATCCTTTAAGAAGGAATTGCAGGAGGTGCTTTTTCCTATTAACATCTGGGAACAGTCTGAAGTCAGGAAAGCAGTGTCAGGGAGTAGCATGGATGGCCTTGCCTCTTTGGGATATCCCCTGTCGCAATGTCCTCAGGAGATGGAGCTGGCTGACCCAGATACCAAAATGTAAAGCAGTGGTGTCATCAATTTGTCCTGCAGTAGAAATGAGAGGAAGGGCTGAGATTGCTAGTTTAAGTCTAAATCTGCCTTTGAAAGCTATTAAGTGACCACTGTGGAGTTAGTTAATGGATTTAGGTGGGCTCCTTTACCTACAGGACAGTGTGATCTGGAGTAAAAAGCAGGGAGTGGAGGGACAGCTACTTACACACTCTAGTCTCAGCTTTGTGCCAACTTTAAACAACTGAGCACGTCATGCTCTCTTTTAATGCCTCTGCACCACTGGGATTACACACCTGTGATCTTCTTAAAGCCTTGGTCATTGAGTCACAGAGACTGTATGGGAGAGAAAATTCTGGTCCTGATGATTTGTAGAAAAAAATTTGAAAGCCTCATTCCAGAGCACTCGCAAAGCTCTGA